TCACAGAGCTGACGCAACAAGTGAACAGCCTACACAATGAAGGGGACCAGGGATCAACGCGGGCGTTGATATTGGCGAGCGATATAGAGACAAGTTTCTGCGCGGGCGCGGACCTCAAGGAGAGGGCTACGTTTACCCAGGAAGAGTATGTCTAGTATCATAACGGTCACATGAGACGAGCGACAGCTAACGGATGGCAGCACATCCAACTTCTTAACCACACTACGAGGAACATTCGCGTCGATATCGCAATTACCCATCCCCACAATCTCTGCTTTGGCAGCACCGGCTTTCGGCGGCGGCCTCGAGCTAGCCCTCACCACACACATGCGCGTCTTCGCTTCTACCACTACCGTCGCCCTCCCCGAGACGCGTCTTGCCATCCTTCCTGGCGCGGGAGGAACATATCGTCTGCCCGCTTTGATCGGCCTCTCGCGCGCACGAGACATGATCTTGACAGGCCGCCGTGTTGGAGCGCCAGAAGCCTACTTCCTGGGGCTGTGCGACCGGTTAGTAGAAATCACGGCAGAGGATGTACAACAAGAAGGGGCTGCGCGGAAGAAGGTCTTGAACGAAGCGATTAGACTAGCAAGGGAGATATGTGAAGGTGGACCGATAGCGATCAAGGCCGCGCTTCAAGCGGTTGAAGGATGCGCGTTGGGCGAGAAGGCTGAGAATGCTGCATATGAGCTTGTGGTCAGGACAAAGGATAGGGATGAGGCGCTTGTCGCGTTCAAGGAGAAGAGGAAACCCGTGTTCAAGGGAGAATAATCGAATGTTAGTGGCGCTGGTCAAGTGCTGAGATATGCGCCTCTGGCCTGAGTCAACATGCTTCATTGATGCCCTGTACGAGTGCGATACACGCTGCTTCACATCTTGCTCTTGATCTCCTCCAGCAGCTTGCTCAATTCGCTCTTGTCCGCTTCCTTAGTTGGCCACTCAATCCCGAGACCCTCCTGTTGGTTCGGCTTTGGGATTAGGTGGAAGTGTACGTGATCCACGACCTGGTGGGCAATCCTTCCATTGTTCTGTAGGATGTTGTAGTCTTGGATGTTCTGCGCGATAGCAATTCGCTTCGTGACGGAGAGGACTTCGGCGAGCTGGTCGTCGGGAATGTCGTGGAGCTTTGCGCCGTGGTGTTTGGGGATGATCAGCTAGGCGGCACGTTAGTTTTGGCTGGTTGATACTGGAGGGACTAGAAAGCATACAGAGTGGCCTTTGCTCAAAGGACCGATGTCAAGGAAAGCAAGTGTCTTCTCGCTCTCGAAGATCTTCATCGAAGGGATCTCGCCTGGTCCTTCTGTGAGCCATTGTCGATTGAGAGAATAGCCAAGCTAAGAGGTTGTTACCCTTGATGATCTTGCAGAAGATGCATGCAGCGGAGGACATTGTGGTACTCGTAGAATGGATAGTTGGTTGGTTGGTACGGGTCTGGTTGGTGAATGAAGATGACGCAGCGAGCTTATGCTTTGAGAGCGAAGTGGGGTTGACCGAGGGACATGTGGGGTAGCTGTTTAGCGGGACGGTTCCGCCGTGCTTCACATGTATATTCCAATCACGATCGTATGCTCATGAACACTACTGCACTGGTTGTAGAAGCATTCATCCTCTCAAGTATAGCTACCCTATGTTCTCGCGGGTCATGACTTTGCCCACTTCCACGATGGGCACTCAAAGTTCGCATAGCATCTAAACTCGTTGCTCAGTCCTTTGGCGTGCTTGATCTCGTAATCAGTCGTCTTGGTTCCTACTTTCCCGTATAGTTTGTCTGTAACCAGGCTTTCCATACGCTCGCCAGTGCAGACAATGAGACGCAGTGAATCTTGCGTCCATGACTTCGCTAGCCATCGCACGGTCAAAGCAGCTATGTTGTGTTAGCGACATCGAACCTACGGTTGTTGGAGACATATCATGAAAGTACCTTTAGTTTGACAATCTTGACTTAGAAATGGCGGGTCGCAAATGATGACATCGAATGAGGCCTTCATCTCAGCTGGTAGTTGGATCGCCTTCTCGAAGTCGTAGCGCACGAACTCTTTGAAGACGGCAAAGCGCTCGTCAAACTCCAGCAATTTGATCTGCGGCCGGCACTTGACTTCACCCGAGTTCTAACGAAGTCAGCTTTTCTCCTCTTGCGCTTCCAGATCACTTACCAGTAGATTTTTCAACTGGATGAAAGCACTCGGCGCAGACACGACTGCTATCCTTGTCTCATCTGTCGCACCATCCAGAAGCTGTCGCGCAAGCACCATAGCGGTCTCGTCGCTATACCAAAATTGACTTGCATTCCAGTCTTCCGTGAAGGCGTCCATGGACAACTTCCCTTCGAAGTCATCCTCGGCTTGGCCTTTTAGTTCTTCAAACTGCTTTTGTCGTGCATCCCGCTCGCCATAAAATTCTTTCAGCGCGGCAAGAGCATCGCCGGAGAGCTGTCTTCATCTGTTAGCATCTGGGCTGCGATCAGCTAGTAAGACCTACGGCATCTCATCGTCGTCTTCGATTGGCGCCATGTTGAGTTTGGCCCAAGGCAGGTTGCCGCACAGTGTACCTGAAAAGTGATAGTTTGGTTGCGTCGTATCCCACTATCGATAACAATGTGCCTCGGCTGTGCTGGTCCAGCTGTAACCTGAGGGAGCGACCATGCGCCCGCGATTGCGATGGCCGTCAGCTACCTCTAGCACACGCGCACTCTACTCAAAGATGGCAGAATCTTTGGTATCGCTTCCAGAGGTTGAGCAGGTCAGCGATCGGGTTATCAGGGTTCTGGGCGGCAACCCCAGCAAGGTGAGCGCCGTTATCATCTAAGGGACGGCGCGATCTGACAAAGCTCAAGTTCACGCTGCAAGGTACATGCGGTTGCAATATTACGGTCAATATGTTCTAAGTAAATTAGGCACGAACACGTACATAGTTGGTCGTGGCGCATCACGACTGCTCATTGACACTGGCGAAGGCAAACCACAATGGATTGCCTCGATCAAAGCGCTCCTTTCAAAGGAGAACATCGCCATCGATAAAGTGCTATTGACGCACTGGCACCACGATCATATCCAAGGCGTCCCCGACCTACTCGCGCACTCTCCCGACACGAAGGTCTACAAGAACGATCCGCGCGACGACTGGCTCGCGATAAGTGATGGGCAGAAGTTCGAGACGGAAGGCGCAACCCTACGTGCCTTCTTCTGCCCGGGACATACCACAGACCACACAGCTTTCGTGTTGGAGGAAGAAGATGCCATGTTCACGGCGGACAACGTATTGGGTCAGGGCACAGCCGTATTCGAAGATCTGGCAGCGTACATGAAGAGCCTCGACGCCATGTCGACGCAGTTTAGAGGTCGCGCATATCCCGGTCATGGGCCTGTCATCGAAGATGGCCCATCAAAAATCACTGAGTATATAAAACACCGCAAGCAGCGTGAGAAACAGGTGTTGGATGTACTTGCGGAGAGTCAAGGCATGGGTTCTATGGATATTGTGAAGGTAATATACAAGGAGTACCCTGAGAATCTCTGGGAACCGGCGGAGAGGGGGATACGCCAGATTCTCGACAAGCTGAAGCAGGAGGGCAAGGTGGGCGGTGACAAACTGTGGGTACTTAGTGGGAAGAGTAGTCTTTAGATGTTCCAATGACACATAGTTTGACATGGCTAAATTCTGATAAGCGCCCAAGTGACTTAACTGCGCCCCACCACGCCCAAGTTCATGTACGAAGACCCAAATCATTCCGCAGTGCGAACCTAGCACAACTCATCCTAATCATAGATGCATCAAATGCAAAATTCCTTATCAAACCATCAGTCGCGGTGCCAGAGTGGTTAATGGGTTAGACTTGAATTCTTCATTCAGTCATCTAATGGCTTCGGCCTCGCAAGGTACATACACCCAAACCACACATCAGAGCCCCATCTAACAGAGTCGCTAAGTTCGAATCTTGTCCGCGACGTTGTATTTAATGCCTGTAGACAGTGGCATCTTTTTTGCGCGGTTGTGGTTGAGGTTGAGGGTGAAATGGTGGAGTTTTGGGGCCACCCAACCGCCCAACTTTTTGCACCACCACGACACTAAGACTTGTAATCTTGTAACAATTACCGCTTACTGCGCTGCACAAACACAAACTATAATAATACTTCAAGGTTCACAACAAATGTCCATCTTCTCAGAAGGTCAATACCTAGGTACCCCATGACTCCTTTTGCACTTTCCAAAAGTACCACCACCTTGTGCTGCTATTTTCCTAGCATACAAACCTTCCTGGCCTGGCTTGCTTACTATCCTACGATTTGCTTTTGCTCATTTACTTTTTGATACCTTGGTGCATCGCGTGGTAAGACGTCGCGATGAGATAGCAAGCCACCGGTATACGAAGAACGGGCTTGTAACGCACCCCTGTCGCTTACTTGGTTCTACTCTAGAGCCTCTTCATGTATGCTTGAACAAGTACTAGCTGTCCATAGAGTTGACTACATCGTTGTCCACACGCGCAACGGCACGAGAAGTGGTCATAATTCCGTGTTGCATTTCCGGGTTTTGCTACATACATACTATTATAACTCAGTGAGTATAAAATGTCTAGGACAATGTACACTTCTAGTAAGAAAATAGTCCTAACAAATCTTTTGAGGATGCGACACAAATTGTTGCCGCCCCTGGTGAGGGCTGCGCCCACTTGCCATCACGGCCTAGGTCCTCGCTTACTCAATGGCGTTCTTGCCCCAGACCCCGCGCAATTGCACACCCAAGTGCGCATCTTACCAGCGACGATACGCCAGGCTGTCACCCTCGGAACGCGACAAAAGTCATGGATCTGACTGACGATGCCGAAAGCATGGTGCAAGATCACACCGATGCTGATGACGACATCGAAATCACACAGAGCGGCGATGGTATCTCACAGCCTACGAACGCGCGCATTCAAGTGTCGAAGACTTTCCGGCAAGTTTGTCTGTAAAGGGATGTGTAGACAGAACTAACTAGAATGGCCTAGTCTGAGAGGACCCATGATCACGCTCGTGATCGGACCAGCGCACGAGGCTGTGTCGATCCAAGTCCATCAAGATATTCTTACAAGAACTTCTGAATTCTTCGCCCGAGCCCTGAAGCCTGAATGGGCGGCCATGCGGGAGAGGCCGGATCATATTGAGCTACCCGCTTACACAGTAAAAGATGTTGAAACCTACGCACACTGGTTGTACTCTGGAAAAGTACCAGCCAGGTGCTTCGATCTCTATCGAACCTTCGAAGATGGCGAGGAAAACAATCCAGTTTGGATCGACCTTGCGACCGCATACGTGTTTGGTGAGCAGATACTAGACCGACATTACCAGCAGACTGTTCTCAACACCATGGCTGGTGTACAAAATGATAGTTATGATGACGAAGATAAGCCACCGGACCAAAGAATCATCAATACGCCAGATTTTCCTTCTGAGGAGGCTATATGTGTTCTTTACCGTGGCACGCCCGAAAGTTCGCCCATCAGAGCGTTAGTGGCGGACATGTGTGCATATGCTACCCTTCAGGACGAGGATCGAAAGCCAGACTTCAATCGCTTGCCTCGCGAAGCATTGGTGGACGTCCTGGATGCAATACCAAAGATAAATCTGAGACAGAAACTTTCGCGCCCATGGGAAGAGTGGACGGAAGGTTATTGGCCTATGCTGACCGAAGTCTGAGAAATGTATGTTCTGCTACCAGTTTGTATTCGTTCGTGCGCTATCGCAAATCTAATTCACTCTAGCCGACCTCGCAGCAATCCGTGGACTCACAACTTCTCTCGCCACCGCAGATATGTTTCAACATGTTACTAGCATACAACATTGGTTTCCGCCATTCACCGATGACAACACCATCAGCGACTAAAGGGTGGCGATTTTCCTGCTGTACACTATTCAGGCAAGAGAAACTATGTAACACCAACCTCCGTCCCTCTCATAGGACAAGGTCGCGTAGAGCCTACGTCAACGTTAGATTGCCTACTTTGTATAGTGTTGCTTCAACGTATCCTGCAGCCCTGTTTAGGTTTTGCCTTCCAATGAGATCTGCATGTGCTCACAGCATATGCGCGTCTCTGGTACGAGGTGTCTTCTCTCTAGTAATAAGAGGGAGCTCATCGTGCGGCACTGGGGCCTTTCAAAGTTCGATTCGTCAATGAAGACTTTCCTCACGATACAAACTAGACTAGCAGGCTTCCTCGTTTGCATATAAGAGATTGTTGCTTTGTTGAACGCATGGTGCATGAATGCGGGCACAATGCAGTTAAGTAACACAGTATATGATTGCGATGCGGGTGTATCTCCCAAGCACCTTGTTTCACAGTATGCAGCAGTATATACTCTTCTAAATGTTCTAGATTTGAAAACAAGCCATGAAGTTCGGTGCGTCCCATTACAAAAGGTTACACCTTAGAGGTTTGACGATGCCTGGAAGATATTCAGCGCACGCTACGATGCGCGATTGTGAATGTCTTTCACTTCAGTTGCATTTCACTCATCACCGCTACCGCAACCACGCTAGACAATGTATCGCAGTGCCCGATGGCTGTCTCTAATAGGTGCGTGCACTTGCGCCGACCGACTGAGTAGCTGTCGTTCTGCCACTCCCCTAGCCTATATAAACCCTCGGTTCCTCCGCTCAACACCTCAACACCGCACTGCTTTACACTGCTCCACTCAACCAGAAGTTCCATCAAACTCCATCAAGAGTCACCTGAGCTCCTTCCCAAGCAAACATCAGCAATCATAAAGATGGGAGGCAAGAATAAGAAGAAGGGCGCCTCCGGCGCCGATGGGGTGGCCAGCTCGAGCAAGAAAAAGAAGGGACGGGGCGGCATGAGCGACAAGCAAGAAGAGAACAAGACCAGAACCTTGGAGGACCTTAACTCTTCCTCAGCTTGGGATCGTGATGATGCCGAAGACGATGTGACACGCGAACCGGATGACGTTGTCGAAACTTCCGAAGAGCCCATCGAATCCCGTCCGACTATAGAACAGGCACAGGATATCACTGAAACTGAGCCAGTAAAGAACGACGACCCGCAGGACGAGGTTCCACAGCAAGAGCCCGATGTCGCGGAGACTGAGATACCTTGGACTACGACGCCATCAACGCGAAAGAACAAGGCAAGCAACGTATCAGACGCTGGAGATGTCTCTAGTGATACCCTTCCGCATAGCCAAGCCCCTACCGAATCATGGTCGTTTGGTGAGAAAGGCGTCACAGATGTTGCGAAGTCTCAAGATGCTGGGAAGCTCCAAGATACCACGAGCTTTCAAGACGATCTAGGCGATAAGCTCCAGCATCTTTCGCTCGAAACACAGACATCACAAGAAGTCATGAAAACAACAGATGGCGAAGAGAAGCAGGATACGATCGTTGCAGCTGATAATGCTGTGCGCCGGCCAAAGGTCGAGGATGAAGCAGCACCTGGAAATTCTAGCGACGAGTCATCAGCTCCTCTCGAAGCTCATCGGGCGCTATCACCACCGCCTCTCGAATCACAGCTTGAAGAAACCCATGAGCCTACCGAGAATCTGGGAAACAAAGCACGAGCGTCGACCGAATTGCCTGCCCAAAAGCCGAAGCCCAACGATCGACTTGCACCATCTACTCAGGAAATGGTAAAGCAGCCTGCGACTGCTCTAACCCTTGCTGTTAAGCCCCAACTGCCGAGCAAGCCTCAGTCCTCTACCGAGGTCCAACAAACTCAAGCACCACCACCGGCACAGTTGCAGCAGCCTCCCAAGGCCAAGCCACCCACTCAAGTTCAACACACCCAACCACCACCGCCGGCACAGCCTCCCAAGGCCAAGGCGCCTATTCAGGCTCAGACACAATCACCGGCACAGTCACAACGGCCTAGCAAGTCTAAGACTTCTGTTCAAGTTCAAGGCACCCAAACAGAACCCTGGACACCTCCGCTGCCCCCAGTCACGCCTAGGAACCCTACCCGAGACCAGGGCACCCAGACAAAGCCATGGACGCCTCCACTGCCTCCAGTCGAGCCCAAAAAACCTACACGAGACCAGGGCACCCAGACAGAGCCATGGGTCGAGCCACAGCCGCCGGCCAAACGCGAAACCATCACCCACAACCAAGGCGCCCAGACACAAGCTTCGTCTTCGTCAGCCCCGGAGTCGAAGTCTCATGGTAGGGCGAAGCCTCCTCTTCGAGGGATCTTGAAAAAGTCTACCGCTTCGCCGTCAGCTTCCACTGGGCCGCGGAACCAAGAAATCGAGATCCCCCATGGCCCGCGAGCACCACGACCTTCCAATTCCGCCACGCCATCAGCTTCCACCGGGCCGCAGAATCAAGGAAGCGGCTTTCCCTATGGTCGGCCAGCACCGCTGTCTAACGGTCTCGCACAATCTAATCAGAACCGGCGATCGTTGGAACCAGAGCGGAACAATCATGGCACGGCTAGGTCGACTTATGGCTCAGCAAGCGGAACACCACTCGGAAGATCCAACGTGCCTGCAACGCCTCCGGCTCGATGGACTCCAGATCAACGCAGAACACCTCGACCAACCCCAATCCAAGCGGACCCTGATTTAGTTGTAGAGCTGGTTGTAAATCACCAGTATGATAGATCCGCAATGGCTTACCAACACACCCTGGCGAGGAACACGGATTACTTCAATAGACATGGAAACGTCTACTCAGCTTCTGGAAAAGTATGGGCCCACTTCGTGGGCGAACAATTCTCCAGCCGAGTGGTTAAAGAATACGTGGAGTGGCTAGGTCGTGGTAGGCTTCCTACCATGGCTTCCCTTGGTCGACTCACTCCTTCTACCGCTGACGAGGTTCTCATGTTCTTGGCTCGCGCATACATTTTTGGCGAGCAGATCGACGACAGGGCTTGGATGAACGATGTCATGGATTCGTTTACCTATGTGCATATCCATGATTGGCGCCTCGAGCTGGACGATGTCGTCTTATACACGTATAAGTTTTCGGTTTCTCGTTCACGTCTGCGTACGCTTTTGGTGGATTTGTTCGCGTACCTTCTCCCTGACCCTGAGCAATTGCTGTCTCAGGATGCCATTCCACTAGTGGAGGAATTGAGGGTCCTGCCAGCAGCATTTTTTCGCGCTGTACGACGCGAGATGACGCAGAGGACAAATTGTACGCCCTCGTGCTGGCGCGCCCGTCTCGACCACCCATCGCATTACTATGTTGATGAATGGGGAGAGGGTGGGCTTTCATGGAGACAAGCGCCTGATTGTGGGCATGGCGAGGCTACATCGATGAGGTGAAATGTCATGTTTTGGAACTTTTCAGGGTAGGACAAGGACTTTGTAGAGTGTTAGAGCAGCTGTAATGGAAGCATGAAACGGAATACCATTTGCTCGTTCCTTCGGTTCCGTTATGTGATCCCTTGGTCCCGCGAAGTATGTATCGGGACATAGAAATCTTATTGAATGCCGCCATTGAACGTGCAGTGCATACGAGACATGCATCACATCCTTTCTTGGGTGGAGGGGTTAGAAGAGTTCACTCCGCTTCCGCTCTACAGTGTCCGGGGAGACCACGGACATCAGTCGCCGTACTTTCCCCCAGATGAACGGGTGAGAGGGGATGTGGAGACCCCACGTTTCTGTCTTGTATTGGAACTGAGCTGATGAGTGATCGAAAGACGTAGTGACGTCGTGCGTGATATCGGAAGGATGACAGGTCGGCGGTTAGAATTACTGTCCCTTCAGTAGCGCGGCCCACTTGTCGGCGACTCTTCCCTTCCGATGCTGATCGGGGTTAGTCCCGCACCTAGCTTCCACTAACCTTCGCTTGAAGCAGGAATTCCCGCCGCGACCTCCACTTTCGCCGGCAGCTTTTCCCTTGAGATGGTCAGCTTTGAAAGGACGTTTACCCAACTGGACAACTGCACAGCGCGGAACGACGCGAGCCTAATTTTGGGGAATCCGGGGTAGCACTGGCACGCTCGCGCGCGTTTTCTGGGGTCTCCGAGCACCCCATACGGTCACCGCGGCCTTTGAAGATGCGGAGAAAGGCGTATGACGCCGGCAGCAGGGGTTTTGAAGGTTTGCGGAGCCAATGCCAGCCTCTCAGAAGCAAATTCGGAGACCAATGTCACGCGATCTAATTTCATGATTAGCATCAAGACGTTCATCATGCAATTGCTACTGATTCTCACGATCCGTAGCAGAGCAGCTCGGTCAGTCTCGGACGCAAGGGTCCCACAGAAACTTCGAGCGAATCTTCCGATCCAAGCGGCGTAGCCTCAACAGCACAAACCCCACATGCGCACACCGCGCTGGCATCTCAAGTCACCCACGAACGTAACAGACAGAAGGTCGCAAGAGGTAGGTGTGAAGCTGAGCTAACGTGAAGCCGCTTCAGAAAACGCCGGCCGTGGTGGTTCCTAGCATTCCATCCACACTCCTTGGCGTTCGTTCTGGGAAGTCATCGGATGTGCGCTTAACGGCAGTCAGACGCCTGACACTAGCGTTGGCAGATACTGTACATGGTGTGGACCCACCGGACAAGAGTTAACGCGGCATCAAGCGAGATATCGAAAGTGCATAAAGCGGTCGATTGCCTCCTCGCATTCACTATTCCCTCCTAGCCAGGCCATCCACTACACAGGCGATTTCAACAAGACACGACCCATATCACTGCACGTCATCATGGGTGGACAAGATTCGATCAAGAGCGCCCCTTATGAGCAGCGCGAGGCAATGTCTCCGTTCCCTAGCAAACAGGGAACGGTGACTCGGGAGCCTTATGGACCAGCAGGTATGCATATCACTTTGTGGAACCTCAATCACACGTGGGCTAATCCCAGAGCCAGGTTTCCGCGGCCTCTTCTCCAACCCTTACGTTGCCATGTGTGCAGCCTTTGCTACGATTGGAGGTCTTCTCTTTGGATACGATCAGGGTGTCATTTCCGTAACGCTCGTCATGGATCAATTCCTCGACGGGTTTCCGCGTGTCTCGAGTGAAGCTTCAGGAGCTGGTTTCTGGAAGGGCCTGATGACTGCTATGCTGGAGTTAGGCGCACTGATCGGTGCCCTTTTTGCCGGCTGGATTGCAGACAAACTCTCCAGGAAGTATTCCATCGTCGTCGCAGTCGTCATCTTCACAATCGGAAGCATTCTACAAACAGCAGCAATGGACTACGCCATGTTGACGGTCGGACGTTTGATCGGAGGATGGGGAATTGGAGCGTATGTTGAGCCATGTTTGTACACGGGATAGATGCTAACCACGCGTAGTCTTGCAACTATCGCCCCACTCTACATCTCTGAGATTGCGCCACCGGAGATCCGCGGTGCTCTTCTCGTCCTGCAGGAGTTCAGCATCGTCCTCGGCATCGTGATCGCCTTTTGGACAACCTATGGTACACGCTTCATGGCCGGCGAATGGTCATGGCGTCTCCCGTTCCTTATCCAGATGATTCCTGGTCTTATTCTGGGTGCTGGCATTGTTTTCCTGCCTTTCTCTCCAAGATGGCTCGCCAGCAAAGGCCGCGACGACGAAGCCCTAGTCGTCCTGGGCAAGCTCCGCAAGCTTCCCACTGACGACCCACGCATCTTCCAAGAATGGTGCGAAATCCGCGCAGAAGTTACCTTCAACCACGAAGTGAGCGTTGAGAGGCACCCTGAGTTACAGGCCAAAACTCGCACGAACGAGTTCAAGCTTGAGGTTCAGTCTTGGCTCGACTGCTTTAGACATGGATGTTGGAAGCGCACTGTCGTCGGAGTTGGCATCATGTTCTTCCAGCAGTTTGTTGGTATGTTCCTCCTTACCCCGACGTGAGAAAATACTAACACAACTCTAGGTATCAATGCGTTGATCTACTATTCGCCCTCTCTTTTTGAAACACTAGGCCAGGACTACGAGATGCAGCTTCTACTTTCCGGCATCATCAACTGCACGCAGCTCGTTGGTGTCGCAACAAGTCTATGGACCATGGATCGCTTCGGGCGCCGGCCACTACTCCTCACCGGTGCTGCTCTCATGTTTATCTGCCATCTCATCATCGCTGTCTTGGTTGGCAAGTTTGGTGGACGATGGCTGGACTTTGCAGTAGAAGGCTGGGTTGCCGTTGCCTTCCTATTCTTCTACATGTTCAGCTTCGGTGCTACTTGGGGACCCGTCCCGTGGGCTATGCCTTCGGAGATCTTCCCATCTTCCTTGCGAGCAAAGGGCGTTGCACTCTCAACGTGCTCCAACTGGTTCAACAACTTCATCATCGTAAGTCTTCCCTTCGTCTTTACTGTCTGTGACTAGCGACTGACCTGTATACCAGGGGTTGATCACTCCTCCTCTTGTTCAAAACACCGGCTACGGAGCCTACACCTTCTTCGCCGTCTTTTGTGGACTCGCCTTTGTTTTCACATTCTTCGTAGTCCCGGAGACATCTGGCAAGACTTTGGAGGAGATGGACCAGGTTTTCAAGGATGTCAGCAGTGAGGCAGAAGAGCAACAAAAGGCGCGCATCATGCGCGACATCATCGCAGGCAAACAAAACGAGACTGTCACCACAACCGCAGTCCCTTGAAGCAGGACAATTGCTCAGCAAGGAGGCCAGTAGATTTTGTAATTAGCGAGACAATTATTCGGTTTATTCTTATCACAGCTTCGCGCACTACGATTGGAATTTGAATGATACAATCGATCGAAGGACTGGGCTTACGATGCGCAGTCTCATAGTGCACGATGAGCGGGTCGCTCCTGCTCGCCTCCGGTGAAAGACGTTGTGACATGCGACGTACGTGCAACGCAAACTTCTTGGCTCGCTACCTCGTATCATGATGATTGTTTGGTTGAGTATCGTATTGTAACGATGACCACGCAACGTCGCGATGGATGTAATGATGCTATTCGATTGCGCCCGGTTTGCCTATTCGAGAACACGAATTTCCGCCTGACGAGATCTGGCAATGGATATCTAGACGTTGTGATGAGCGCTACATGTTAAGGGAAATGTAGTGCAGAACAAAGACATGATTTAGCATGTGCATCTCATGCTAGTTGCGTAAGACATGTTTGTCCGGAGCAATCTTGTATTTGACGCCTGAAGCCATATCTATACTGCCTAGGTACGCCAAAGCTGAGCTGCATTCAGAAGCATCGCGGAAAGAACACCTGGAATGTAAAGACGCATGTCATCAGATTGACAGGTGTACGCGTGCTTTGCTGTTCAAACACCTCGCCGAGTTGTGCGTCGAGCTCCATGCTCCCTGTGACGTAAAAAGATTGCCTTCAAAAGGAGCTCCGCGGGAGAGAGCGCATCACCGCTCTGCCCCAGAAAACACGTACGGCATTGCCATCTTCTACTTTCCACCCGTCATCGTGCTCGTGCCATCATTTCACTCCCAGATCCTCGATAGCCGATTATCTCCACGTTCTGCGCCAAATTGCGAGGCTTCCCATCGCCAAACTTTTGCAGCTGGGCCGTTAGGGTTTCCCAACTTTCGCCCCGCGCCACCCTTCCCAGTACAGCATCATGACCCGACTGACTCCAAGGCCGCGATAATTCCGTAGAACTGCGTGTTGGTTGTCCCAGCACCGATTCCAATGCAAGGTGTGCATAACACACGGCCTCGTTCGCATCGCCTGGTATGCCTATATCGTCGAATGGCTTTGTGATCACGCTCTCGGGGAGCTCCGCTTCGAGGTAGTCTATGATGTTCGCGTTGCGCGCACTCGGGCCGCTGATGAAGAGTTCGTCGACGTCCTGGCCGGCAGGAAAGCGGAGCGCGAGGAGCCTGCGATACTGCTTCAAGATATTCTCGGCCGTTATACGGGTAACGGTAGCGATTATGTCTGCTTCAGAGAGTTTCATGAAGATGCACTCATCAACGACTCGTTGGGCTTCATGTTCACCAAACATATCCCGGGCTATGCTTAAAGAAGGCAAGACGCGAGAGTAATCGTGCGTCTGGAGGAACCGTGTGACGATAGCTTGATTGGGCTTCCCCGGCGCTGCATACTCCCCGTCGTTGTCATTGTTCCGATCGTTTGAAGTGCAGTACTTCATGGCGTAGTCAATGAACACGCTTCCAGGCCCGCAGTCGCGACAATTTGTCCCTCGAGCATCTCCCTTCGACCGAGGAGGAATGAAGCTACAATTCGCAAGCTCGCCAATGTTCACACAAGCTCGAAACTTGGAAGAGTGTCTCAAGAAGAGTTGATCAATGTAGGCGACGGGGGAAACTTGAGGTCTCAAAGACCCAGCTTCAATGACAGCAAAGTCGAAGACAGTGTTGACACCAATCTCAATGTTTATATTGGCGTTCCATCCCAGCGGGTGCGTGCTCAGGTCGTTTGTTTCAGGCATGTCAGGTCGCCTCAAGCCCGATGTGTGTGTGCCGACCAGGTTTATGGATGCGAGTGGTATGCAATGCTTCTCACAGAAAGTGGTAATGCCATTGGAGAACAAGTAACCGAGCAGCGCGTTGAGGCGTGTCGCTAGTGAGGAGTTGCGCTCAACTTCGCGGATGGAAGTGAGGATGTGGTTTCGAACAGGAGGTGAGGTAGGTAGCGAACCGCACTATCGTTCGTCAGCATTTGCAGGGCGACAGTATGAACAACACTAACTTGGATGAGTTCTAGATACAGCGTAGCACTAGGGGAGGCTTGCAGATACCGGACCAGCGCGAAGTCAAGCTGGTTTAACCCACTTCCGCAACAGACCCCTAGAATGCGGAGGTCCAATGCACTCTTCATGGTCTCTCTCGTATGAACCTGTAGGCTTCCATGGTCTGTTGCTGAGTCGTTGCGACGCATACTAAGCTTGACTGTTGTTCAATCAAGAAGTACACATGAGTGCTTCACATCCGGAGGCGAAGATTATCAAATGGTAGAGGCCCGGAGGTACCTAGGCAAGGGGGGACTTGTCCAGTGGCGTCCGACTGAGGCGTCACCCAAGGCATCTCGGGTTATCGCCCCATAAGGGGCTTTGCAGAGAGGAATGCATGCTAAAGGTACGCTGTGGGGTGGATGGGTATCCGTGTCGCGCTATGCAGATCTCAACGGACCCGATGAGGACTTGATGTACCAAGACTCCCGTGACCGGGCTCTGGCACCTCGTTACGACTTACGCGAAGGGATTGGCCCGGGACAGATATCCGGCCGTGAAATGACGTAGCTGCTCAACGGTCATCCCTTCAACATATCAAGTCAGCAACCAGGCACATGCTAATCAACTTCGCACGGGAAGATGCGCTTTGTGTTCTTCATTGCCGGTCTGCTACATACCTAGCAATTGATGGAATGCAGGTATAACGCGTTGTACAAGGCCATATGCATCACAGTAATATCTAGGTGATACTCACGTAGCGCTCCCAGACGTGCAATAAGCGACCGCAGCTGCCGGATATCGGTGCTTTGTTGCGAGGCTTTCGGATGCAAAAAGAGCTTCTCGTCTTGGCTTCAGCCAGCTGCCTTACGGTCAAACTGGTGGTGGCATGTGGGACGAAATGCAAGCATCTGTTGAATATCCAAGATCGACAAGACGCGTACTATGGCAAACAGTACGATTTATGATACTACAAGGGGTGCTCTAGCAAGGTTTCAACACAGGTATCGTGATCAAGCGCGTAATCACGGTAACTCAGGCAGCAGCGTACGAAACGGGTAGTTTAGTGATCTAGATGTGCTGCGCCACACACGACTTTCAGCTTGCTTCACTAACAGATTCCACATCCTTCTGGCCACCGGCCACGGGACATGCGTACAGCTCAGGCAATCTTCGGTGAACCGAGCCGAACAATGCAGCCCTGGATGTGAGATTATCTGAAAGAATTCATTGGGGCGAATGATTGCACGTGAAAACAGAGATCAGCACACGAGAAAGTACTATTTCCAAGAGAGGCATTGTTACTGTATAGTAAGATGTAGCTGTGACATTATATGGATTCCACTCGGAGTTGTTACCCGAGCTCCCAATCCTCGGAAGGTATATCTTCCCGGATTGCACAAGTTCGGTTGACTGCTGGAAGCTCCCGGGTTGAGAGACATCCATGTTCTCGCATGATAATGGGAGTTCTGCGTCGAGTTCTAGAGCTACATGAAGGGGACAAAGTGACGGGATACAGGCAGCTGACCATGGCGTCCAAAGCTGGTATGGATTATACCAGAATGATTCGCGGGTATGACTTAGACACGACGGTACTGGCTTCCAGACACTGAGCGCTTTGTTTTGCACAATAAATGTCTTGTATGGGTTTCATCATCTTTCACATCCACCTTCTTCTTGTGGTCCTATTCCACAACCGACCCAAGCTGGTTTTGGGTAGGCCAAGAGTCAATGCCGGCTCGAGTTTCTACTTCATGAGCTAAGCCACAGGAGCTGACGATGTTGGGATACCCCATTCGGCCTTCAATGCGTTACTGATCCACGTCGTCGGCCACACATGGTTTTTCTCGAAGTTGTTTAAAAGCTGTACTACCTGATCTCTCTCTTTTGGGTCGCATACAAGAGGTCCCCAGATAAAGATGGTGTGACAGACGGTGATTGCTAGTGGGACAGTCTCCGGTGAGCTATTACTAGCCCCGGAAATGGCGCGAGCATGCGTCAAGATCTGATTCTACTTCAATAAGCAAATGTTCGTGCTGTTTGGTAACTTTGGTCCTTACATCTGTTTCAGACAGGCTGCCGACGTTGCGGATTGCGAACTTGGGGCCTGGCTTGTATCGAAGCAACATGATACAGGCAAAATGATAGAACCCAAACGATACAGCTGATGGTAGTGTGAGCATTTGCGTGGAAGGACATGTTAGATAACTTACCGTGCCAGTCGGCTGTGAAGAGAATCTCAGGAAAGCAGCCCCCATCGCCGGCTGGGCCTTCGAAAATTGCATTGAAGCCGTCCGGTCTACCATGCATCCACGTCTGGACAAGATCCCACAGCTCGTTCCATCGCCGCATCTTGTAAGCCTTTTCGTTTTGTGGCTCCTTGCCGTCGAAGCAGAAGTTGACGACACATGCAAGATTCCAAGTCATTTGATTGGACCAGGCCGTCTCCAGTCTTAGTCGAGCCAGCGGGTGCGCATCTCGTAGTGAGCTTGGGGTTGGGTGTAGCTGCAAAGAAAAATCGATATCAGGGGGTTGCTGATTGATAGTGGCATTGTAGAGGCACTGGCGGACATAGACCCAAAAAGCAGCTTCGCGCAACGTGGGCGCTGATGGATCTACATAGTGATTTCCCTGAGAAGATCGAATAATGGCCGAACAGCCTGCGAGGTGCTGTTCATCATCAGAACCGGTACTGGACGGGACTAGAAGGACTTGTTAGGCATGAGAGACGCAATGCATACTATAGTACGCACCATTTAGCTGCTCGTAGAACCGCAGTATGACGATCGCACACAAAAGCGTTTCGTCGTGGCTAGCAGCTTGCTCATTCAATCGTTCGATGAGCAGGGCGATGCAACGCTGATAGGCCGCCTCGGCTGTCGCGTCTTTTCTGCAGTGGCGAGCAGCAAATGACATGACGGCATGGCAAAGTACCGGGCATTGTTTGACCTTCTCCGGTACGCCCAGCGTAAATTGACGAGTGGCGTCGGTGCAGTCAAGCCAGCGGCCAAGATGTTCGGTGTAGTGGTGCACGAGCAAGGCCTCTTCATGCGTCAAAGGAACAGGCCGGGGTGAGTAGTTTCTAGTTCCATCTGGCATGTCTCTACGGTTATGCGAATGCGCATTCGGCTGCTGCATGGCCTGGCGGGTATGCATCGGCAGCGAGCCCTCTGGCATGCCGTCCGGGTCGTGCGACTGCAGCAAACTCGCCACCGACACGCCACCCGTTGTGCTCTTAGATCGGGGAACAAAGTAAGGCGAGCCTGGCGATAGCTGAGCCGACGGTGAGGAGACGCTGGTCGATGGGCCTTCCGATGTCCCATCGGTCCGACTGTTTTTCCGCCTTCTCGGTGAAGTGTTCCGGCTCAAGCCTTCCTCGCTGAAACTGTTTGCACGAACGGCTCCTTCTGTTCGACTGATGTTATCGACCCCATCGACACCGTCAACATCCATCAGGTCCTCTTTGGTCTCGGTTTCCTCATCAGTACCGCCGGCAGCAGATCGACTGGAAGAGGGCCCGTCAGGCCGGTAGTCCTTGAACTTAGTATGAGGCTCCTCCCACTGACAGGGACGGTTTTTCTTGCCGCATGCTTTGCATACTGGACGGGTCTCGTCACCTGGGAGGACTATCAGTACGGCAAGGAGTGCCTGGAAGCAGGACACTGACATTTGACGCGGCGCGCTCGACATGTAAGGCTTGTGCAGATCAGCGGACTTTGTCGCCGCAACCTCATGGATCCACTTACCAGCCGCTCCTAGAGCGGAATTTACTGTATGAAGTCAGTAATACGTTTCATGTGTAGGCTGGGAACCGGAGTTACCCCATGTATAGGAAATCCAAATCCCAGGTTCGAATCGAAGTGTACCTGTCGCCGTATTAGCTAGTGGGGATGTGCCCTTCGCCTCGAGCCCGATCCCTCGACGATGGCGCTCGTCATGAATCGACAAAATGGCTAATATCGGAAGTGCGTACCACAACTACGTAATTGTGTCGTTTCAGGGACCCTTCGGACGACTTCTGGAGTTTGCGCGTAGCCTTTACCGAAGCAGTGACATCTGTAGGATCCTCTCGGCAATCTTGGACAGAAATCAAGAGCGCTCAAGCAGGGCACGTGGAAGCGAGGCAGGTGTGGGCTAGATATGCTACGGAGTCGCAGGCTGTTCAACTCTCCGACGTAGTCTTGATAACATTAGTCATTTGCCAGAGTATATGCTTTACCCTCTGACGCGCTGAAAAGGGGAGTTGAGCGTATAACTCACCCGTCGAAAACGTTCGATGGCCGGTCTGTCGGTCGATGCTGGGTGGATCGGGGTGCAACGTCACGCTGTTGCTCATAGACTAGACTGTGTATTGAAGATACGGCATTCGTGCAAAGCCCATGACTGCCTCGATGAAGGCCAATCTTCGATACTGGACCTCACCCGCTCAATGCTGGTGGCCCTTGCTAGGTGAAAGTTGGCTGCGGGAAAAGATCCCGCAGCCAGTCAGAGCCCGTAGAAGGGCGGCGCTCGGATCCCAAACCCTCTCCAGGTGCTTAGGTAAGTGGGTATCGGGTGCTGAGACTTTGCTATGCACCCAGTGTCTTGTGTGCCCCGTACGCAGGGCCGCATCTGCCCAAAGATCTCGAGGATCAGCCCAGTCCCGCCAGTCTATCGGTCAAATACTCTGACAACTGGCCGCCGGATGTGATTCTAGTCCAAAAAGACTGATTCGTATCGAGGTCTCGAGCAGGTCAAATAGCTACCCGAGGAAGCTCATCAGCACGAAGGCTGCTGTATTTCTTGAACTACCAGTACTACTCTTCAGCTGTACTGGGTCGCGATCCACAGCAAGCGCAGACTGCATCCGCATCGGGGCTGCTGACCTACCTCTCGAACTGCATCGCCAAGAGTTGCTCAGATTAGCATAGTTCAGAACCTCGTTTCGACGTTGGAAACCAGAGCCTTCGCACCCTGACGAGACTGCCATCCTCAACGCTCGTGTTGTCTTGCCGTCCACGCGTGCGCCCACGAACTCCCCGATCACACGAATCCGTCCTAGCCGAGACCATCCACACACCCTGCCCGCTGGCAACACTCCTTAGCCGTACCTGCAATGACCAACTATCGCAAGCACCGGGCCAGACGTGGCACCCAACGAATTTCCGAG